CCCCTCATCTTCCACAGGGGTGCAGGGCCCCGCTCCTCAGTGTAGGCCCGGGCCAGCGTTGACAACTCTTGTGATTTATCATTAATCTTGCAATATTTGGTGATTTTCTTAAGTCCACGCTGCCCCGTGGCTGGAGGAAAGCAAGAACCTCAGCTTTCACCTCAAACAAAACAAAACAAATCAAATGTGTTTCTGGCTGCGGATAGAAGCCAGAAAACATGGTTCAAAGTGTCCGGTGGCACCTTAAAGACTAACAGATTTACTTGGGCATAAGCTTTCGTGGGTAAAAAACCCCACTTCTTCAGATGCATAGAGTGAAAATTACAGATGCAGGCATTATATAATGACACATGAAGAAAAGGGAGTTACCTCACAAGTGGAGAACCAGTATTGACAGGGCCAATTTGATCAGGGTGGATGTAGTCCACTTGATCTAATTGGCCCTGTCAACGCTGGTTCTCCACTTGTGAGGTACTCCCTTCTCTCCATGTATCAGTATATTTATGCCTGCAACTGTAATTTTCACGCCATGCATCTGAAGAAGTGGGGTTTTTACCCACGAAAGCTTATGCCCAAATAAATCTGTTAGTCTTTAAGGTGCCACCGGACTCCTTGTTGTTTTTGTGGCTACAGACTAACACAGCTACCCTCTGATGGTTCAAAGTGTGACCTAAAGACTCAAACTAGAAGACAAAAGGAAACAAAAGGTTTTTTTTTTCTCTCTAAGTATCAGAATTTTAAGCCAGTCTTGTGGATTTTTGGGTCCTGACTCCTGATTTCTGAACTCCTGGGATTGGCAACATTGCAGGGTTCAGGGAGCTGGGCCCAGGACCAGTTCTAGGAGTGGGCAAGCAGGGCAGTTACTCTGGGCACCAGCTTCCAGCGGCACCAGACCGCTGTGTCACTCTACTTTTTTTTTTGCTAAGGAATGTATGAACCAACGTTTTCTGCCCTGAGTGGCAAAACGGCTGCATCTCTCTGGGACTTATCCACATGGCTCCACTAGGTGCCTCCTGGACCCTGGAGAGGACGTGGAAGAAGGTGAGGTGATGGGGGAAATTAGGGGGTAGGTGGGGGGAAATAGGAGGTGGGGGTCAGTGGGGTCAGGTAGGGGTGGGGACTAAGTTTAGGGCATCCCAGCCCCAGCTGGGCTGCGTGCAGCAGCCAGGGAGAGACACAATGTATCATTTATGCCTAGTTTTTTGCATTGGATGGCTTTTCAGAATTGCTTAACTGGTACATAGATTAATTAATCTAGTTCCTAAAATGAATGCTACCTCTACCAGCTGCTTACAATGTTTGGATTTAGCTTTGTCTGGGAACATGTATTACAGCTTTAAAGTTTGATTTGAAGTACCACTCTTGTATTTTCTAACCTGTCATGTCCCAGCCCCAGCTCCGGGGCTGCAGTGGCCAGGAGAGATGCCTGTCCCCAAACAAATTCTAAAACTTAATGGAAATCACTTGGATTCCAGACGAGTGATTTCCATGAAGTTTTAAAATTTGTTTGGGGAGAGGTATTGGAAACCATTAAGGCCAGATCTTTGCTATGGGATATAGTTCTGGCTCTTCAGAGTACTCCCATTGACTCATAAGTAGCAAGCACTAGGGGTTTGATCTTAGGTGCTTTGTAGGATGAAGATATTATTTGCTAGCTCTTTGAAGCTGGGATCTGTCTGTAACCTCTGAAGCCCTGTGTTAATGTGCTTCGTTTACTTAAGGGGCTTGTAAAAACGGAATGAGCCTACGCTCCGTTTTTGGGTGGGTGACACACACAGTGTGAAACCAGGAGAACTTTGCCTGTTTCTACAGGGCTCTGTTGCACTTGCAGGGCGTGGGTCCTCCTAAACACTCCTAAAATCCCCAGAACCAACCACTTGCTGTTTTACTTCCCTTCCTATTTTCAGTGTTGTCACTTGTTTGTTTGTGGTTTTGTTTGCTCGCTGTGTTGCTTCATTACTTATTTTTACTGTTCTCTGGGTGTGAAGTATTAAATTAAGAGTTGACATCCCATAGAAATTGTAGACGCTCGAGGGAATGCCTTTTAGTCTCCTTTCCAGTATCAGAAAATCTTGTATTAATATTTGCAATCAGAGCATGACTATTTCTAGTTAACTCATAGATTTGCTGAGCATCTTAAAGCTGAGCGATGATGGCAGATAATATGCATGCAAGAGAGATAGTTTTGTGAACTGCAAAAGTCCATAGCATGCTACTGTTTTGGCAGATGCTTCATTTTCCCCCAGGGCAGCTTTCCCTGAAGATTTAGTGGTCTATGGTAGGAGTAGGATATTAAATTGGGCCTCAGTTCCTCAGCACAGAGCCTGGAAGAGGAATCCTCAATCTCATTTAGTGGCTGCTGTCAGAAGCTTCACTCCTTGAGATGCCCCCCCCTCCATGCCCCACCTGCTAAACTGACCTGCACAGAGTGGGAGAGGCAGCCAGATGTCCTGCTACTGATGCCCACGGTGTTCAAGGCCTCACGAGCGAAGTTTTCGGCTGTCTTCACAAAGCGGTTAGGTGTGATGTTGTTGGTCATGTTTGTGGAAACAATGAAAGGCAGGACACTCTAGAGGGGGCAGAGGGGAGAGAGTAAGTGCCTGTTCTATTGCATTCTGGCACAATCTCTAGGCTCAGTCTGCCTGCCGGCCGGACATCAGTGTTGATCCTTCACAAGGCTGGCAGCGAAGGCCCAATCACCTTCACTATGAAGTCACGAGAGTTTCCCACCTCGGCCTGACTATTGCAGCCACAGAGGAAGGGACGATGCTAGTCACCGCTCATCTCAGTCACTCCTGGTTGGAAGGGTCACTTTAGAGCCAGGCAAGATGGCTATTTTCCCCATGGGTGAGCATGCTAACTCACGGTCCATGGAGGGAGAAAAGGGATCAGGAATAGAGCGTGGGCTTCTGACACAGCACAGCAAATCCCCTCTGACCTGAGGAGGGGCAGAGAACAGGTGATAAGAGAGCAGGGCAGAGCACCAATGGCCAGATTTTCATAAGTGCCCCGCACCCAGCAACTCCCATCCAGGGAATCCCCCTTCCCCTCCCCTTTCCTTCTCCCCCACAGACAGTCATGGAGATTCCCTTCCCCTCCCCGCACAGGGAGCTGCTGAATGCCGGCAGCTGGCAGTGGAAAGTGCTGCCTGCAGATGGAGCAGTGGAGCATGGCAAGCGCCGAGAGCTGCATCCCCAGACACCTCCTGCAACGGCTGGCCCCAAACTCCAGAGTGCTCCTCGGCCTTGCGTCCATAGAGCAGGGATTGCTCTCTACCTGCACTAGGATGCCCTGGGAGTGGTACTCGGCCTCCAAGCCTCTCGAGAAGAAATCTACAAATCTCTGTAATGGAGAGAAAAGGGAAATGAAGCCACAGGACTGCAATGGAGCAGGAGAGGGGAAGGGGGGGGGGGGGGGGGGGGGGGGGAATGGGGACATGTCACACTGAACGCTGACAAGGGAGCTAAGAAACCTCAAGAGCAGATCCTGAAAGGACGGGTGGCTGGGACAAGGCCCGTTGCTCTGGCTCTCATGAGGAGCTGGTGTGAGACAGCACTGGGTGCCCTTACAAGGCCTTCCCCATCCAGTGAGGCAAGCACAAGGCTGTAACACTACCCGCTGGATCTATCGGGGATCGATTTATCGCGTCTAGTGTAGACGCGATAAAATCGATCCCCGATCGCTCTGCCGTCGACTCCGGAACTCCGCCGCGGCGAGAGGCGGAAGCAGAGTCGACGGGGGAGCGGCAGCGGTCAACTCGCTGCCGTCCTCATGGCCAGGTAAATCAACCTAAGATACGCCGACTTCAGCTACACTATTCGCGTAGCTGAAGTTGCGTATCTTAGGGCGACCCCCCCCCCCGGCCCCTAGTGTAGACCTAGCCCAAGGGAGGGTGTTTTCCACCCCCACCCCCTATACCGAGACAGGATTTTCAGGTGCTTCAAGGAAGGAGAAGAACACACTTGTTTGTCTAAGCGATTGGCTGAACAAGGAGTAGGACTGAGTGGACTTGCAGGCTTTACAATTTTACATTTTTATTTTTGGGTGCAGTTATGTTTTTGTACATAATTCTACATTCGTAAGTTCAACTCTCATGATAAAGCGATTGCACTACAGTACTTGTATTAGGTGAACTCAAAAAATACCATTTCTTTTGTTTTTTTACAGTGCAAATACTTGTGATCAAAAATAAATATAAAGTGAGCACCATACACTTTGTATTCTATGTTGTAATTGAAATCAATACATTTGAAAATGTAGAAAACATCCAAAACTATTGCAATAAATGGTATTCTATTATTGTTTGACAGTGCGATTAATCACGGGGTTTTTTTTAATCTCACAATTAATTTTTTTAATGACTTGACAGCTCTAGTAGCCAAACAACCGGGTTGACACTGATAGTTGCTGCAAGATGGTGAGCACGGTACTGGCGAGGACCGCAGAAGAGATTCTCTGACATCAGAGTCCTGGTGTAAGAAAAACGATGGTGCCAGGAGGACGTACACAGGAGGATTACATAACTCTTGGTCCCTGGCAATGTCAGTCAGTACTATGGCTGGCAATGCTCCTATTAATACAGCCCAATATGCCGTTGGCCTTCTTGGCAACAAGGGTACACTGCTGACTCATATCAGCTTCTCATCCACTGTAATCCCCAGGTCCTTTTCTGCAGAACTGCTGCTTAGCCAGTCGGTCCCCAGCCTGTAGCGGTGTCTGGGATTCTTCCTTCCTAAGGGCAGGACTCTGCACTTATCCTTGTTGAACCTCATCAGATTTCTTTTGGCCCAATCCTCCAATTTGTCTAGGTCACTCTGGAGCCTACCCGTACCCTCCAGCGTATTTACCTCTCCTCCCAGCTTAGTGTCATCTGCGAACTTGCTTAGGGTGCAATTAGTCCCATCATCCAGATCATTGATAAAGATGTTGAACAAAACCGGCCCCAGGACCAACCCCTGGGGCACTCCATTTGACCCCTGGGGCACTCTATTCTGCCAACTAGACATCGTTGATCACTACCCATTGAGCCCAACAATCTAGCTAGCTTTCTATCCACCTTATAGTCCACCTAATATCCCCGTTCTGTTCATTCCCTCTCAAGCACCTGGCATTGGCCACTGTTGGAAGACACAATACGGGGCTAGCTTGACCATTGGTCTGACTGAGTATGGCCATTCTTATGAGAGGATCCAGCAGCCTGTCTGGCTGAAGGCCGAGAACCCTGGAGAGAGGACAGGAGAAGTAATTTCCCACGGAGGGCTTGCTGTTACTCTTGGGATCTCAGTGCAGGGCAGGATGATTTATGGAGCGTCTTGGGGACCACTTCCTGGTGAAAATGCTGGAGGAACCAACTAGGGGCCATGCTCCTCTTGACCTGCTGCTCACAAACAGGGAAGAATTGGCAGGGGAAGTAGAAGTGGGTGGCAACCTGGGCAGCAGTGATCATGAGATGGTCGAGTTCAGGATCTTGACAGATGGAAGAGAGGAGAGCAGCAGAATACGGATCCTGGACTTCAGAAAAGCAGACTTTGACTCACTCAGGGAACTGATGGGCAGGATCCCCTGGGAGGCTACTATGAGGGGGAAAGGAGTCCAGGAGAGCTGGCTGTATTTTAAAGAAGCCTTATTGAGGGCGCAGGAACAAACCATCCCAATGTGCAGAAAGAATAGTAAATATGGCAGGCGACCAGCTTGGCTTAACAGTGAAATCTTCGGTGAGCTTAAACTCAAAAAGGAAGCGGAAACTTGGACAGATGACTAGGGAGGAGTATAAAAATATTGCTGGAGCATGCAGGGGTGTAATCAGGAAGGCCAAGGCACAATTGGAGTTGCAGCTAGCAAGGGATGTGAAGGGTAACAAGAAGGGTTTCTACAGGTATGTTAGCAACAAGAAGAAGGTCAGGGAAAGTGTGGGACCGTTACTGAATGGGGGAGGCAACCTAGTGACAGATGAAGTGGAAAAAGCTGAAGTACTCAATGCTTTTTTTGCCTCAGTCTTCACAGACAAGGTCAGCTCCCAGACTGCTGCACTGGGCAGCACAGTATGGGGAGGAGGTGAGCAGCCCTCTGTGGTGAAAGAACAGGTTAAGGACTATGTAGAAAAGCTGGACATGCACAAGTCCATGGGTCCGGATCTAATGCATCCGAGGGTGCTGAGGGAGTGGCTGATGTGATTGCAGAGCCGTTGGCCATTATCTTTGAAAACTTATGGCGATCGGGGGAGGTCCCGGACGATTGGAAAAAGGCAAATATAGTGCCCATCTTTAAAAAAGGGAAGAAGAGGAATGCAGGGAACTACAGACTGGTCAACCTCACCTCAGTCCCCAGAAAAATCATGGAGCATGTCCTCAAGGAATCCACTTTGAAGCACTTGGAGGAGAGGAAGGTGATCAGGAACAGTCAACATGGATTCACCAAGGGCAAGTCATGCCTGACCAACCTGATTGCCTTCTATGATGAGATAACTGGCTCTGTGGATATGGGGAAAGCGGTGGTCGTGATATACCTTGACTTTAGCAAAGCTTTTAATACGGTCTCCCACAGTATTCTTGCCAGCAAGTTAAAGAAGTATGGATTGGATGAATGGACTATAAGGTGGATAGAAAGCTGCCTAACTTGTCAGCTCAACAGGTAGCAATCAAAGGCTCAATTTCTAGTGGCAGCTGGTATCAAGCGGAGTGCCCCAGAGGTCGGTCCTGGGGCCGGTTTTGTTCAACATCTTCATTAATGATCTGGATGATGTGATGGATTGCAGTGAAGGGCAATGAAAATGATTAGGGGGCTGGGGCACATGACTTATGAGGAGAGGCTGAGGAAACTGGGCTTATTTAGTCTGCAGAAGAGAAGAGTGAGGGAGGATTTGATAGCAGCCTTCAACTACCTGAAGAGGGGTTCCAAAGAGGATGGAGCTCGGCTGTTCTCAGTGGTGGCAGAATAAGGAGCAATGGTCTCAAGTTGCAGGGGGGAGGTGTAGGTTGGATATTAGGAAATACTATTTCACTAGGAGGGTGGTGAAGCACTGGAATGGGTTACCTAGGGAGGTGGTGGAATCTCCATCCTCAGAGGTTTTTAAGGCCCGGCTTGACAAAGCCCTGGCTGGGATGATTTAGTTGGTGTTGGTCCTGCTTCGAGCAGGGGGTTGGACTAGATGATCTCCTGAGGTCTCTTCCAACCCTAATCTTCTATGATTCTATGGGAGAGGAAAGGGTGCTAGGGACAGGGGGCACAGGTTGTAACTTTCCTTACCTTGGTAGCACTGTACACCGTGACCAGTGGGTGGGGGTGGCGGCCCGCTACAGAGGACAAGTTAATGATGACCCCCTTCTTCCTGCCATGAAGAGAGAGAACTCTGTGTGAGGATGGCCCCAGAGAGCACCCAGGAAAAAGGAGAGAGGTGTGCTCCTTGCCCATGCCCAGCCCACCACCCGGGGGGCGGGAGGGGAGAACCCGTCGCTTGGAGCAGGGGAGAGGGAGAGTTCATTGCCCAGGAAGGCTCCTGATCAGTACGGGACAGGTGCAGCTAAAGGCGGACGCCACCCAGAGGCACACAGGCGGCACCGTACTGCGGCCACTGTCAGGGAGTTCCTCAGCTGCTGAGGCACAGTCATTTTCTGCAGCTTGTACCTGGTGACCATCTGGGGCAGGACAATCCTGGTCATCTGCAATGAGAGGCGCCGGTGAGACATGAGAGAAGACCTGCCACACAGCCTGCCAGCAATGCCCTGTCCATGACAGGGGCTATCATCAGCTCCTCCCCTCCCTTAGCAGCCATGCCCCCCAATGGCAGAATCTGCCTCCCACCCCCCAGATTGTCCTCCCTTCACCAGCCACATGCGACAACCCTCATCCCGCCTGCCCTGCCCCCACCGGCTACGTCCCCCAGTGGCAAAGCCTGTGCTCCCCCCATCGGCCAGAGCCCCCAAAGGCAGGGACAGTCCTTACCCCTGCCCTCCCCCCACCAGCCACACACCCCTGACATGACCAGCCTCATGCTCCCAAATCATCCCCCGGGCACCATCTTTCCCTCAGTAATAGGTGCTGTCCCTATGTCCCCATCCCTCTCCCATTAGCGCCCACACTGCCCATCCTTACACTCCTCTTTCCTTTCGCCCACCAGCCCTTCACTACCCAAAACTGGAACTGCTCTCTTCCCCCGTGTAAGGATGAGGCCTTTGTCTGCAGCCATATTGTAAGGCCTAAAGCCTAAGGCCTTCGTCTGCAGCCAGACTGAAAGAGCAGCTGAGAAGCAGGAAGTCACATTCTCCCATTCCATCTAAATTACATTAAAAGAATGTAATATCAGGGTGTTAAGAAGGAAATCCCATCCTAATGGCACCCACTATCACCAGGTAAAGCAACAGATCTTAAGATGGTTAAAGAAAACTTAGTTTGATAGCATTCTGTCTGGCAAGAAATCACTTCTCAATAGTTGAGGTTGAGAAATCTTCATTTCTTTATTGTTTTGTCACTATGGTCCCCACTTCCCTATTGTTTATCTGTATGATCTCTGCCTGGTTCTTTGATTGTTTCTGTCTGTTGCATAATTAATTTTGCTAGGTGTAAATGAATTAAGGTGGTGGGGTAGGCTTGGTTAGAGAATTTTGTTACACTATGTTAGGATCGGTTAGTAAACTTTTAGTATAATGATTGGTTAAGGTATAGCTAAAAAGGACTCAAATTTCACTATATAAACTGGGGTCCGAAAGAAAGTTTTTGAGAATCAGCCCCAAAGATCAGAGCTGCCAGATCTCAACACTCTGCCAATGACACCGCGCAGAAACTGGAGTCCCCCAGATGGACCTGATCCTACTGGCCATCAAGAAAAGTTCATCTGTCTTATTGGGAGTGGTGAGCCCTGTATGTGTAACGTGTGCAGTCTGTTTCTGGTGATTGTTAATAGAGGATAAGGATATTACTGTGTTACGCTCTTTCACTGGTAAAAGGTCCTGCAAACCTGCAGGGTTATGCCCGAGCCCTAGGAACTGGGCAAAGGTGGGTGCCCCGAGAGTGTGTGAGTAACAGAGAATTTTGTACGGATAACACCCTGCGGTTTCCCAGGAGTTTATCGGTTCCACGTGTCATGCCCCATGTGAAAGAAACAAGAGAAAGCCACTGAAGCTGCCGAGGGACGCCAGCTCTATTTCACTTACCTTTGCCACTGAGAGCATGTTGCAATTCACAATATCCGATAGAGTCTGAAGAGAGAGGGAGTGAAAGGAAAAGACACAATGACCTCTCCTTCCCCATTGTCATGGACAGCACTGAGATTGCCCCCCCCCCATGGGCGGGTTAGCACTTTCATCTCTGGGTACGTCTACACTACGAGATTAATTCGAATTTAGATAATTCGAATTTGGGAAACAGATTGTATAAATTCGATTGTGCGCGGCCACACTAAGCACATTAATTCGGTTTTTAACCACATTAATTCGGTGGTGTGCGGCCACACTACCCCATTAATTTTAACCACATTAATTCGGTGGTGTGCGGCCACACTACCCCTAATTCGAATTAACAAAATCGATTTTGGTGCTACTCCGCTCGTCGGGGTGGAGTACAGAAATCGATTTTAAGCGCCCTTTAATTCGAAGTAACTGGCTCCGTTGTGTGGACAGGTTAAGGATTAATTCGGATTAACGCAGCTAAATCCGAATTAAAGTCGTAGTGTAGACCAGGCCTCAGTCACTATACATGCTCATGGTTATTGTGGTGGGTAGCCCCAGCCACTCACGTGCTACCATTAAGGTGAACTAGGCGGTTGCCTAGGGCGCCAAGATTTGGGGGCGCCAAAAAGAGGTGCCCCCAATTTCCCTCCGTGGCAGCTCCCCACCCCCTCGGCCCAGGGAGCCGTGAGGCAGCTCCCCACCCCAGCTCACCTCCGCTCCGCCTCCTCCCCAGCATGCCGCCCCCGCTCTAATTCTCCTCCCCTCCCACGCTTGCGGCGCCAAACAGCTGATTGGCGCCGCAAGCCTGGGAGGCGGGAGAAGTGGAGCAGCAACGGCGTGCTCGGGGAGGGGGCATAGCAGAGGTGAGCTGGGGTGGGGAGCTGCCACACAGCTCCCCAGGCAGGGGGTGGGGAGCTGCTGGGGGGGGGGGCCTAGGGGGGGGGGGGGGATCGGACGGGGGGGGGGCGTCTCAGGGGGGGGGGGGCGGGGAGCTGCCGCAGGGCTGGGGCGGGGAAGGGCGCAAGGTGGAAGTTTCGCCTAGGGCGCGAAACTTCCTTGCACCGGCCCTGTAGCCACTGTACTGACACATCGAGACAGCCCCCGTCCCACCGAGCTCACCGTCTAAAGAGAGAAAGAGACAGCAGTAGGTTTAACATAGCTTCGGAGGGAAAAGGGGAAGGGTGATCAGATCCGACAGTTACTTAGGCAGTTAGGGCCAGATTCTTAAAGGTATTTTGGTGCCTGAAGACACAGATAGGCACCTAGTGGCATTTTCAAAAGCCGTCTTCCACTGTTTTCGATGAGATTGAAGCCCGGCCCACAGACAAAATTGCTGCCACTCTATGGTCCAGGGAGCTAGACAGGGCATTGTCTAGGGATGGGGAGAAGGAGCGGGAGCAGGAGGCAGATTTAGGGGTTGGGGCGCAGGGGGATGTGGAGGCAGGTGAAAGGCTGAAGGGGGTACAGAGGACAGTGATGGGAGATGGAGGGAATCAAATGCCAGTGTCGCGGTAGGGAGAGGATTCCCCGCCAAGCAGCCAGTGTTGCCTATTCTCACGAACCGATTGCAAGTCACAGGATTTTGTGTCTGCAGGAGGAGCTGTCGTGATGATGCAAGAAGGTCCTCCAGTCCCATAGAGTTTTCAGGGCTGGGCAGAGCTGTGGGCGACAGCCTTAGTGGTGAGCCCACAGACCTGCCTTGCCACGTAGCCCTGCCTTCACATATGGCCCTAGAGCAGAGAGAGGGTCCTGGGGCAGTGCAGGGCCCTGCCTCCCACTGCTTTGAGACTTCTCCTCTACTTGGGAGCCAACTCCAGGACACTTCTACTTGGGAGAAGCCCTCGGGTGGCAACGAGGCAGCGGAGAGGGCAGTTGGGGAGGTGGTGCTGCCGGGTCCAGGGAAGGGGACAACCCCAGGTCAGTGAGCCAAGGGTGCGGGGGAGTCGAGATGTAATAAGAAACAGCTGGCAGTTCGCCTATCTCAGAGGTGAGGAGAGCATGAGTTGGAGCTCCATCTTAGGAGCCAAGGAGAGGGATACGCTTCTGTGGGCAGTCAAGTCAAGTGAAATTCTCACACACACAATGGCAGAATAGCAGAGGAAGTTATGAAGACAAAGCACAGACTACAAAACTATGGTTTGATGATGTCTTTAAATTCTCATGATTTGCATGCCCTATCTCGTGACCATTGGTCTCTTCAGATTGGCAGTTCTGGAGAAGTGCCAGAGACTCCATGAAATCCACTAGGGACTTTGCTATTGCTCTTAAGTGGAAGACACTCCGTACTATGGTGATGGACAGCAGTACAAAACCCTAAGAGAGACATAGGGCTTAAATTCAGCCGGGGCCATCTGGAGGGAAGCTCTGGTAAATATTTTTTAAACCCACAGAAGCCCTGGTGCGGTCCCACGAAGCCCCGAGCCCCCCAAGTCCCGAGCCCCCCATCCTGTCGCTGAAGCCCAGAGCCCCAAAGGCGGGCGGGGGGCCTGGGGAACTCCGGGAAATAATCTCTGAGAATTTAAGCTCTGGAGAGACAGATGAGGTGATTGCTTGTGGGGACTATATAAGCAGTGCTCTATGCATTTCCAGTGTGAGGCCAAGAACCGGGGTAGACCTGAGGTAGGTCTCTCTGTACAGAGTGGCAAAAGGACAGTGGCTAAGGGCGTGGAGTGGGACCAGCACGGACTGTGTGAGCCACGGTAAGGGTTCAAAGGGACTCGCCTTGATACAGAGGTGAAGGGATAAAGAGATTTTATTGTCAAATAATATGAAAGCCATGAGGGGGACTCTGTGGTGAAATTCAGTATTGCCTTTGAGACTTTGTTACATTGGGCCCCGAAGATGATGTGAAATAGAGGCTGACCTATGTTTCCCTATAACCTAATTCTTCATATAGGAAAAGCCCTGTCACAATAACTCTGCCCATTCCCTGGGCACTCTCTTTCCCCTGCACTGAGATCCACCTGAGCCAGGCAAGTGGGAAGAGGGAGGTGTCAGGGCGTGGGTGACAGCTCCCGCAATTCCGTAGGCCGGTCTTTTAACTCAACTCGCTTAACATGTGTCAAAGTCGACATTCCCTTGGCTGTACTAGACTTTTAGCATGTTTGCGAACAACCCACTTCTACATCCTCTCTAGATGAGCAGTGCTCAGAGTGCATTAAAAAACCATCGGTTCCACTTAACAGAGACCTAGCTTCATTCCCTGGTTCCCAGGGAGACCAGATCATCAGCAAGACAGGAAACCAGCATGGCAAGAATCTTTGAACAAGACCAACCTTCTCAATGTTGGGGACATCCAGGAAATTCACTGGCCCCATTGCATAGAACATGCCAACGTTGTTCACTGTTAAAAGAACAATGCATCAGGCCCAGCTGTTCTGAATTATGAGCATCATGTAGTAGAAACACTTGGCACTTTAGAAACAATGCAAGTCTGTCACTAGGCCCCAAAGAACCAGGTTCAGACAGGCCCAAGCAGGGAGGTTTGGATCTGGATCCAACTATTCCCAAAAATGGGAGGGATGTTTGGGATCTTTGCTATACAGTGTACATTTGCACTTAAGTTGGAGCTGGGGGTATAATTCCCAGCTCAGGGGGGACATACAAGCACTAGCTCTGATTGAGCTACCATGCTAAAAATAGGGTGTAGCCATGGTGGTAGAGCCGCCCCGACTACGTATCCATACAAAATCACAGGTGTTAGGGTAGCTTGCCCCTCCCGCCGCTCACACTACCACAGCTACACACTATCTTTAGCGCACTAGCTCAGAGCCAGCATGGGTATAGCTCCTCGAGCTGAGAATTACACCTCCAGAGAGTAAAGGCCGTGATGAGAGGCAGCCACCAGTGGCGTCCATTTGGATTTTAGTGCATGTGGTGTGGGAGACAGGAGATTCTGGAGGCTGAAGGAAATGCAAGTGGGAGTGGATGAAGAAGACAGCCTACTGGAGCAAGCACATGGCTCTAGACTGGTTAGGGGTACCTGCTTGGAGTGTAGATAGAAGACACTGTTAGGTGCACATGTGTCCAAGGCAGCCTCCAGTCCCAGAAGACGCTACAAGGACATTTGCTCATCTGTTAGGTTTACATCAGACCCATTAGCTCAGCTGAAACCAAGTGTTTGGCCAGGTTATTTCTGAGCCCGATTCGGGTGCAGTCCACTGGGAACTGCACAGACACTGGAACGGAGAGCATGACATCTGCCACCTCCCTGGGAAAGCGCCGGCCACAGGCCACTGCTTCTGGCCAAGGTATGTTTCAGGCCAGGGCAGCAGCAAAGACAAACAGAACAAAACCCAAGAGCCCATTTACCCAGAATGCCAATCTCCAGGCCCTGCAGGGTGGTTTGGATGGATTCATAGATCTCTGACCCCTGGGTGAAATCAGCTTCAATAACTCTGGTGCGTCGGCCATGCTGCTCTTCTGGAAAGCGAAGTCAGAGCAAGATTAGAACTATGGGGAGGGGCTGGGGAGAAAACAGAGGAGAAGGCAGGGTGGGGGAGGGGGTGGGCTCTGAGCTCAGGGTGACAGAGCCCCTGGGCAGAGAGGAAACGGTGTGTGTGTGTGTGTGTGTGTGTATCTAGGCTTGCTGCAACAAGTCCCTGGGAGAGGGAAAGGGAAGGAGCCTGTGCTTGCAGAAATTGAGCTGGGGGTGGAGGGGGTAAGGCCTGGTCTAGTGGTAATAGAGCCCCTGGGAGTGGCAAGAGGGAAGGCAGCAGGGTCTGGGTTAACAGCACAAGCCAGACCCCACCTCCCGACCCCTTCACTCACCCCAAGCTCTAATACTGTGCTTTGGTAACAATGCCGCCACAAGGCGGCACCACATAATATTCCCACTCTAACTACCTAGGTGCCCAACTCCCCTGGCATCCACACAGGGGTTCGTAGACCCCCCTACTCACATGCAGGAGCCTGCCCAGCCTGTCTTACTCACCTATCTCAGCTGCCACCTGCTTCAGTTTCTGCAGGGAGCGGCTGATCAGCACCACATTGAGGCCTCTCTTGGCGAGCTGGAAAACAATTAAGGTGGGAACTCAGGAGAATCTGGGAAGCCCTAAATCTGCTCAGTTTGCTCCACAGCTACTCCTGGGTCAGCTTCACCCTTGTGCCAAAGCTGATCCGAAGTAGCACTGGTTCTTACCTCCTGGGCATAGGCTCTTCCAATCCCAGATGTAGCTCCCGTCACCACTGCAAGAGGAGAGAGGGACGGGCTGTAAATGCCTCCTTAGGCCAGTAGCTGAGAACCGCTCCCCTGGGGCATTTGCATGCCTTGCACACACTCCCCAGCATGGTCTGGTGCAAGCTCCATGGAGCAGGGAGGGGGACACCCTATCTAGGGTCTGGATCGATGCTAGGCCCCTCAATCCCAGAGCAGGGAGGGAGAGTCCCTCTCTATAGGTTCTGGTGAGACAGCACCTGGGGTACTTCATTATCACCCCCAAATACTGAGAACCTGGGGGAGTTCCATTCCTTGGGACAACTCTTGCTGAGGTCATTGGCAACACCCCACTGGCCACGTCCACAGGCCTCATACTGCTCCATCAGCTCAATCTTCTCTATGGACTTTATGGCTGTCTGCTCCTGTTCCTCCTCCTCCTCCCTCTGTTGCTTTGGCACATCCCCCCTCCACACACACACACTCTGTCAGTGTCCCTCAAGGCTCTGTTCTTTGGCCCTCTCCTCTTGTCTCCCTGCATTGTAGCCCCAGGTGACCTCATCCCCTCCCACATTTTCAGGGACTTTCGCTACACCAAGAATTCCCATATGGACCTCACTGCTGCACCCTCTCCTCCTCCCTCCTGTGCGAAGTCTCCTCCTGTCCTGGACCTTCCACCACCTCTTCAAATTGGGCCACCCAGTACTCCCTTTTAGGCTGCCAGCTTGTTCTCCAGAATCACAACTTGCATTAAAAAAAAGCAGTAAGGCCTCTCGCACTTTTGGTTGCAAAGAAAGCCTTGAAAATGCAGTCCAAGCGTAAGCAATACAGCAATGTCAGCCTGAATCTTCAGAAAAGCCTAATACAATAGCACTGGGGGGCGGGGGGGCACACTGCCTCATTCGTCTCAGTAGAATGATAATGCAGATGCCCAACAGGGATAAATGTCAACATTAACTACTGTACTGCACAACAGAGCACACGAGCAAGAGAAGGACGAACGTTCTAGAGCAGTGGTTCCCAAACTTTAACCACCTGTGAACCCCTTTCACTAAAATGTCAAGTCTCGTGAACCCCCTCCTAAAAATGAATATTTCCGGGGAGTTTCTCCTTTACCTGAGTATAAATTATAAAAGCAGTGATCTTGGAAATACAAAATTTGTTTTTATGACATGCTTATTACACACTATTTATTATTAATTACTATTTATCATTACAGTATTTTTATTACATTTATGAAAAGGGCAACACTCTTCCAAGATCTCACTTTCATAGCTTGTATCACTTTGAATAAGCCTGTTATAAGACAAGGCTCCTATGTTTCATCAAGGAGTATCAGACGTGAAACAGCATGAAGGGATTTAAGAAGCCAACTCAAAGAGTTCTTCCTACACAAGCATTCAGGTCTTGAGCAGTCCAGGCAAACAACACACGTTACAACAAAGCTTAAACTTGTTCTTCATAATAATTTTAAAAACAAGATTAGCTGCCTATTTAATTTTGAAAACAGCAAAAAATATCCACCTCCCTTTCCATTTCTTATAAGGAGTCTTGAAGTTTAAATCTCCTCAGTGTGATAGATATGCTCGCTTTGATCTGCTTAGCTCTTGGAAGTCCAGGGGCTCCGGGCTGCTGGTCCCGTGCTGCCCGGGGTCCCTAAGGACAGCTCTGTCCGCCATTAAGGAATTTTTTCCCCCGAGAACCCCCTGTAACATTTCGTGAACCCCCAGGGGTTCACGAACCCCAGTTTGGGAACCACTGTTCTAGAGCAACAACTGCTCTGTAATTCAAATAGCAACATAGTATCTGTTTAAAGCTGACTTTTGCATCCTCTGTGAAATCTGGAGGCAGCCCGAGGAAACCTGGGCATCCTGGGTTCCTTCCCCTAATCCAGAAGCAGTGGAAGGAAGGGGAGACCAGGAGCCCCCTCTCTCAGCTTGATGGAGCAGCTTTTAAACGGTAAGTGTCTTTCAACCCTAACGACATAGAGCTGCGGTGACTTTTCACTTTGCTGCCACAAGCCCGGGGTACTTCACAGAGTCACCACCACTGATTTGCCCCTGCCCCAGCTCCTCCACCCACCTGACCGGTGGAGCCAGAAGGGAGGAGCAGAGCCCGGTGTGGGGGGAATAGGGTCAAGCTCTGCTGAGTGACAGCCAAGCCCAGCCCAGGGGAGCATTCAGACAGAGCAATCTGGAGCTCTAGCTCACCCCCACATGAGCCCCTACAGCCCTATAATCCCGGCACTACAGTCCCATACCTACCTGGGCAGGCAGCGTCAGGCCTTCCTAATGTCGGTAGGGGGCAGACTGGAACCTCCCCCTTCCTGACTCACTGCTTCCTGCCTTCTGGCAGGCTAGGTTCCTCCCATGAGGCAGGAACACTCAGCCCCTGTCCACCCCAGCATTGCACTCTGTGTGTGGGTCCCCCCAGTATCAGCCTTCCCTCCCCCAGCCCCCACAGAGGGGACATCAGTGGCAGTGTCCCTCTCCCCCTTGGCAGGGAGCCTAATGTGGTCTGCTGGGGACTCTCCCTCAGAGCCAGTGCAACCCATTAGGCGACCTAGGCGGTCGCCTAGGGCGCTAGCATTTGGGGGGCGGCATTTCGGGTCCTTCGGCGGCAACCGTGGCGGCCGGATCTTCAGCCGCCCCGGTCAGCGTCGGCATTTCGGCGGAGGGAGCTGGGGCAGGGGGGCGCGGGGAGGGCCGCCGGGCCCAGGGAGCTGGGGGGGGGGGGGGAGGCGCCTCAGGGCGGGTGGGGGGGCGGAGAGCTGCCACAGGGCTCGGGGAGGAGGGGGGCGCAAGGTGGAAGTTTCACCTAGGGCGCGAAACATCCTTGCACCCGCCCTGCTCTCCCTGGTTCTCCTGGTCTCTGCTCTCCACCCCACTCACCCACTTTGCACAGTGTTACTGGTGACCCAAGGGGCCAGGCCATGGAGAATGAGGCTCCACACCTCAGGTTCTGTGTCTGGAGCCCAGCATTCTGAGTACAGCACACAGCGGGGAGCCCCCGTGCCCTGCCGAGGTGCCGGGAGGTCAGTCCTAGCCCCCTGCCCCCGAGGAACGTTGCTTGGCTAGTTGGCTGCCAGTCCCACTCCCTTCCCAGGGGCTTCCGGGAATGAACTGAATGAAAGACATGAACATGCCTCATTGGGCCATTGAGATAAAGAGCCTCCCAGGGAGCCTGACCAGGGGCAGAGGGTCTGTGCCCCTTCCTGATGTGTAGAGACAATCAGAAAGGGATTCCACGCAGGCAGACGCTCTCCTGCTTGTTATGACACAGGAAATCCAGGTCTAGTCTACATAGTTTCTCTGGGCAACAGAAGAACGATCAATTGGAAGCTCTTGGGGACCAGCTCTGTGTACAGTGCCCAGCACAATGGGGCTTCAGTCCCTGAACTGGTGCTACCACAATGCAGGCGACGACAGCAACATACTTCGGAAGCCTCATTAACTAAGGCTAGGTCTACACTACAGCGGGGGGTCGACCTAAGATACGCAACTTCAGCTACGTGAATAGCGTAGCTGAAGTGGCGTATTTTAGGTCGACTTACCTGGCTGTGAGGACGGCGGCAAGTCGACTGCTGCCGCGCCGCCGTCGACTCCGCTACCGCCTCTTGCCGCGGTGGATTTCCGGAGTCGACGGCAGAGCCATCAGGGATCGATTTTATCGCGTCTTCACTAGACGCGATAAGTCGATCCCCGATAGACCGATTGCTACCCGCCGATCCGGCGGGTAGTGAAGACGTGCCCTAAGAATGGAAGGGATGTCTATTCAGGCTGCTTAAAATGCTTTATTTCCTGTTTAAGCTCATTTAACTTCAAAGCCTGAGAAACACTTGGGAGAAAAATTCCTGTTGGTCAGAACCCCAGGGGTTCCCCTCCACAGAGGTGGGAGCAGTAGCCCTGCACTGGGACTCAAGGCAGAAAGTGGAGTAGGTGGTGGTGAGAACATGGCAGCACAAGCCTTCTGGAGCAGGGGTTCCTGTTTGTGGAGGCTACAGGCAGGGCCAAGTTCTACAGCAAGTCTGCAGTATCCCCAGCCCGAGACCTTCAAAAATCAGGAGTAAGGCACCCCCCAGAATCACAATATTTAAAAAAAAAAGTTTGTGATTTGTCAGCCACAATGAATTTGGGGTTCTCTCTCACTTTGACCTCTGGGCTTTAGGCGGTTTTCCCAAGCTTTTCTCTTGGGCTAGAAATTACTTTTTAATTTGAGGAGAGTGGAGATTCTCCTGTGATCACGGGATTCCAGGAGCTGAGACTTTGAGAAAAACACCCCACGTGACTACACCAGGGCTACACTAGAAAGTTTTGTGGCAAAGAAATGTCGGCTAGGAATGGGAATCTAGAGTGACTTTTGTTATACCAGCAACAAAGGTGGTTAGCTTAGATGCAGTTATATCCGCATAAATGTGCTTTAGAGCTATAGCTTATTTTGCTGAGGAAGCAAAAACACTCTTTTTTTTAAAAACAACAACAAGGAGTCCGGAGGCACCTTAAAGACTAACAGATTTATTTGGGCACAAGCTTTCGTGGGTAAAAAACCACTTCTTCAGATGCCTCTTCTTTTGGTTATCAGCTGCATCTGCAGTAGGCGGGTTTGCCAATATAGCTGGGGGGGAAACCTGAGACCCTGGCTCCCAGTCTGTTGCCTTAAGGTCTAGTAAAGGGCCTGGAACGCATTTTATAGCCCCCGGAAGGACAAAGGGCTGTGTTAATTGGAGGCTACAGGAGTCTGGTTTCTGACCTCAGCAAGATGGGAAATGTATCTTGGGAAATGTCCTCTGGATATTTTCTACTCCACTGTCCTCTCCACAGGCCCAGCATCCCCCAGGCCCTTTGGCTGGGTCATGGAGCCCAGTGATCTCGGCCATCCCTCCCTCCCGCTGGGGCTTCCAGCTGTTTCGTGTGCCTGGTGGCAGCAGAGCTGGCATCGATCCTTGGGTTCAACAAGAGCTGATGGGGCACCCGTCTGCCTCATGCCTGAAGACCTGCAAGCAGGAACCCACCCCAGCACCCCTGCCCGGCCAACAGCGATCAGCACCTCCTCCAGCTCCAGAGAGGGAAACAGCCAGTCTACATTAGAAGCGCTACTAGCGCATCTGGTGAAGATGTTCTATGCGGATGGTGAGAGCTCTCCCCTGGACATATTAAAACCACCTCCCGAGAAGGCAGTAACGCCTTCTGCCGACATAGCACTATCCACACAGGTGCTGAGGTCGGTGTAATTTACCTCACTCAAGGGGTGGCTTATTCAAATTATGTTGACATAAATGCCAGTGTGTACAAGCCCCCAGGGCTTGGCTACACTACCACGTTCTGTTAACCAAACTTATGTCGACACCCAAAAGTCGACAAAACAAAAATTGCCAAAGGGCGTTCACACTTGCTCCCTTTGTCGACACAGGTGCCAACTTTTTTTTTCTCCGGTGGGTGCTCGCACCCCCCGCCCTGACTCCACCCCTGCCCCAAAGTCCCCGCCCTTCCCTGCCCCAATTGGATCCCTCTCCAAATCCCCACCCTGGCCCCGCCTCCTCCCCCAAGCGCCCGCATTGCCCCTCCCAGGCTTGCCGTGCGAAATAGCTGTTTCGCGGTGCAAGTGCTGGGAGGGAGGGGGGAGAAGCAGGACGAGGCAGCGCACTCAGGGGAGGAGGTGGAAGTGAGCTGGAACGGGGGGGTGGGGAGCTGCCGGTGGGTGCAGAGCACCCACCAATTTTTCTCCGTAGGTGCTCCAGTCCCGGAGTCGGCGCCAATGTCTGTCGACAGATCGTGTCCACAGTGGGGACACCATCATCGACAGGGTGAGCAATGCACTGTGGGTAGGTATCCCACAGCGCAGTGTTGTGGGAAGGAGGAGCTGATCGCTGCGCATCTTAGGATTCTCGCCGAGTTCTCCCACAGCTCCCTCCACCGCCGAGAGCAGCATCACGAGTGGCTCTGTGAGCTTTCCGTGCTGAGGAATGGCAGAGCAGCCCAGCAGTCTGCCCCATTCCCCCTGCAGCAGGCAGACTGTGTTCCTAGTATGGGGCAGAACAGGAGGATTCCAATGATTTGCTCTCCGTTTGTTCCCCAAACGGGGCAGCGCACGGATACTTCCCGGAGCTTTGAAAGAGGAGGGGCGCATGCCTGCAGGGCAGCAGAGATCAAAACACTGAGCAGAGCAATCAGGGCAGGCATTGTGGGATACTGGGGGAAGCCAGTTCTGTCGATAAAACAATCAGCAGTGTCTACACTGGCTCTTTGTCGACAATAAAGGGAGGGGAAAAGACAAAAGTCTCTCGTAGGAGTGACAGAGTCATGTGGCACCTTATAGACTAACTGACGTATTGGAGCATGAGCTTTCGTAGGTGAATACCCACTTCGTCAGAGCATTCTTAAAACTACAATACCCACCTGGGGAAGTGAGGAAACAGATTGACAGAGTGAGACAGGTACCCAGAAATCACCTACCACAGGACAGCCCCAACAAGGAAAATAACAGAACACCACTGGCCATCACGTACAGCCCCCAGCTAAAACCTCTCCAGCACATCAACGATCTACAACCTATCCTGGAAAATGATCCCTCACTCTCACAGACCTTGGGAGACAGGTCAGTCCTCACTTACAGACAGCCACCCAACTTGAAGCAAATACTCACCAGCAACTATACACCACACCACAGAAACACTAACCCAGGAACCAATCCCTGTAGCAAATCTCGTTGCCTACTCTGTCCCCATATCTACTCTGGTGACACCATCAGAGACCCAACCACATCAGCCACACCATCAGGGGCTCATTCACCTGCATGTCTACTAATGTGATATATGCCATCATGTGCCAGCAATGCCCCTCTGCCAGGTACATTGGCCAAACCGGACAGTCTCTACGTAAAAGAATAAATAGACACAAATCGGACATCAGGAATGGTAACATACAAAAGCCAGTAGGAGAACACTTCAATCTCCCTGGACATTCTATAACAGATTTAAAAGTAGCCATACTTGACCAAAAAAACTTCAGAAACAGACTTCAAAGAGAAACAGCAAGAACTAAAATTCATTTGCAAATTTAACACCATTAATCTGGGCTTGAATAGGGACTGGGAGTGGCTGGCTCATTACAGAAGCAGCTTTGCCTCTCCTGGAATTGGCACTTCCTCATCTATCATTGGGAGTGGACCACAGCCACCCTGATTGAATTGGCCCTGTCAACACTGGTTCTCCACTTGTAAGATAACTCCCTTCTCTGCATGGATCACTATATAATGCCTGCAACTGTAATTTTCACGCCATGCATCTGAAGAAGTTGGTTTTTTACCCACGAAAGCATATGCCCAAATAAATCGGTTAGTCTTTAATGTGCCAGCGGACTCCTCCTTGTTTTTGTGGCTACAGACTAACAGGGCTACCCCACTAACAGGGCTACCCCCTGATACCTGACACCATTGTTCCCTGTAGGCTCTTGCTGTTTTGTCGCCAAGAGGTAGTTTGTGGCGACAAAACTTGCCAGGGCAGACAAGCCCTCGGTCGCACCTGTCTGCACCGCCCAGCCCAACCTCCCCTTTCGCCCCACCCGGCCGGGTCCGAGCCATCAGCCCCGCCCCGTAGCCCCCCGCCGGCCGGCACTGGGGCGGGGGACACGGTCAGACCCTCCCCAGGGCCCGCGGGCCGAGCTCACGCGCCCAGGCTCCAAAGCTGGCGAGCTCCGCGCCCCTCCCACACGCCGCCAGCAGGTGGGTCCGCACCGCCCGGCCCAGCGTCCAGGCAGCCCGCAGCAGCTGCAGCCCGAGCGCGACCAGGGCGCCCAGCACGGGCAGCCCCGCGCCGCCAGCACCGGCACCCATCGCCCTGCAACTGCTCCGGGAGCGAGCGCGGTCCGGGCTCCCCGCTCAGCCGCCTCCGCTCCCGGGCCATTGGCCAAGCCGCCCAGTGGGCGAGCCGCGGCCGCTCCCTTGCACCTCCCCGGCTGCGGGAGCTAGCGCCGGGCCGCCTCTCCGGGTCCCCCCTGCCCCGGCTGCAGTGGGCTCCAGGGAGACTCCCGCGGGCGCTCAAGAGAAGCGCAGCGTCCCCCGCCCCAAACTTTCATGCGCCCGAGTCAGGACTAAAAACCCCGAGAGAAAAAGAAACGAAAATCATATCGTTTTCGGCAGCCTTTGGATTTTTTTCACCACTGGGGGAAGCCCCCCCCCCCCCACCCTCCCCATAGGTGCTGGCACTGCTGCACCCCTTGGCTTCAAGTGGTTTCTCTCCTATCCAGGGGTTACAGTTTGTTCCAGTGTCCCTGCCTCGTGGGGGGGAGGAGGACGCAGGGGATGCAAGTGCACCAAAAAAGTGGCCTCACTGTTCCTGGAGAGACAGATGCCCACCTCAGCCCCTTTGAGAAGGTTTGTGACATGAACTAAATCTCCTCTGCAAACTGGCTGCGTCGTCTCACTCCCTTAACTGGGGGCCGCAGCAACTGCGGTTTATAGCCAACTGCGGGGGACGGATTGGTGCTGGGAACAGGTCAAAAGAGACGGGTTCCTTATGTTTGAGTTTTTACCTGAGGCCCCTAAGAAAGGGTGTCGGGGTGTGCAAAATAACAAACGGGGTGACGTAGCAGGAGGTTGGCACCATGGTAGACAAGTAATCCCACAAGTGGGTGAAACGGGCCAATGTCACTATCCTGGAATCTTTGTATCACCTGATGGGTTTAGAGCAATTCTACCGACTAGGTCTCCTGAGCTTAAAACGTGGTCCGTGGATCGAGCACCTAAGGATTCATGTACATGGACCTTCAGCTTGTGGACAGTAGGTCCAGCTATGAAAAGAGATCCAAGGGGACTGGTCCTGGGAAGGGGAGAATTAGTGGAGGCTCCGCGGAAGTGAGATTTGGGTAAACCCAAAGTGAGTGGGGTGGAAGGCAGCCAGTGCTGGTAGACCCTCACCAAGGAAGCCCAAAGACCTTGGGAGGCATTTGTAGGCAGATCAGGCATAAATGAGTGTACGACCCAAGGCTGAAGGACTTGGGGTTTGTCTGGGACTGAGGGGCTCACACATCATCTGCCCAGCCTAGAAGGCAACTTGTAGCTCACTCAAAGAGTGAACTGCATGAGCTCCCATCCCAGTCACTGATTTACGTGTCCCATTGTAATTTCATGGGCTCAGACTCATCTGATCTCCAGCGGGAGCTGTCTGGACTGACTCACAACGGTGAGTGCCTACATCAGGGCAGACTGTCGGAAAACAGAGCAGACACCTCGCTAGCCAGTCTTGCCATGGAGTCACGGACAGTCCCCTTAGACTCTCCAGTCTATCTTGCCACCCAGACAAACTGGACTTTGTGATAAAAGGTCACTTAAACCAGAAATCACACCACATCAGGTTGCTCCAGCTGAAGTCGACGCCAGGTCAACTGGTACTCTAGATCTTATACCAAAGACAATGCTGGTAGCCAATTCTATAGTAAAGTAACTAAGGCCTGGACTAAACTGGAGGGAGGGATGGATCGACCTAAGATACACAACTTCAGCTACGAGAATAGCGTAGCTGAAGTCGACGTATCTTAAGTCAACTTACCTGTGTCCTCACGGTGCGGGGTCGACTGCCGCCATTCCCCCGTCGACTCCACTTCCGCCTCTCGCCGCGGTGGAGTACAGGAGTTGACGGCAGATCGATCGGGGATCGATTTATCATGTCTACACTAGACACAATAAATCGATCCCCAATAGATCGATTACTACCCGCCAGATCCCATACCCTAAAGGTTTATTAGCTAAGAAAAGGAAGTGAGAGTTATTGACAGATTAAAGCAGGTAAAACCTATGTCCAAGAGAGTAACAGTTTGTAATTACCAGTGGTGGCAGTGATGTAATAAACTGTCAGTTTCCCAAAAGTCTTTTCAGGCTTCCCAGATTGTCTCTGGGGATCTCTGCTTTGCATCTAGTACACTTCCCTGTAAGAGATCAAACAGTCCAGGGGTGAAGGATTTCCCCCTGAATCCATACTTATAGCTTCTTCTCACAGAAAACAAGCTGACAGGGTTATTACCCATGTGAGCTTTTCCTTTGATGACAGAGAGTGAGGAATGCATTTAGAGTCTTTGACCTCCAATCATCGCATACAATGACCACTCACGTTGAAATTAGGTCTTTTCTCTTAGAGGTCTTCATTTACGTTCTACAAGCCTTCTTTCTCCTTTGATGGGTTATTTAGTTACAACAGTATAAACAAGGTAAATGTTTGCTACTACATTATAACAGGCTAGAGATACATGAAAACTTGCTGACCAATAATATTATGGTAAAATGCCTGGTTCTTGCAGTCACATGGTTCCATTGGCGACTTTCCTCATCCAGCAGTCTACCCTCACAGTTTTCCAATCTAACTTGCATCTGCGAGCTTAGAGTTTTCTCTTCAGCCTCCTCTTGCTTTCCCTCCATCATCTGCTCAAATCCCCTTTGAAACTCAACCATAGTTTCTACCTGCAAATAAAGTTTGGAGTGGCAGCCTGCAACTCCTGACTTTTCATCTTCTCTTCCATCCGTTTCATGAGGCAGCACTTCAGACAAACGAAACTCTTTTCAGGTACTCACTCCAGGATAATGTACATCCCACAGCTTCCACATCCAGTCATCTTCATTGTCTCTTCCGTTCCTTGGGTCACTACCTCTGGAGCCTTTATATCTGACATAGACTTCCCACCTCAGCTCCTGTCAAGGGGGAAAAGAAATCACAGAAACCAAAACCAGAACACCAGACACATCCGCCCCCAAAGTCTCCTTACAAACTCCCACTCAAACTCCCCTGTTTTCAACTCTGTTTGCTGGCTTCTCTGCTGCTGCTCCTCTCTAAGGTCCTGGCTGTTAGATGACACTAGCAGGGAGCACCTTGGGAGTTTTCATATACCTCAGGGCTCTCCTGTCACCTCAGTACCTTCAGGTTTGAAACTGGGATGGGGTCTGGCCACTATCTCCTCCTGCTCATCTGCCAGGGAGTGAGGAGGGCAGTGAATCCACATTCTTCCATGTGTCAGCCATCTTGGCTGTGGCCTGGGGTGTCTTTACCCTTTGGTTGTGGTAGGGAGTGACCCCTTCAGCATTTGGGGGATCAGTAGAGGTTTGTCCCCCTCCAAGGTTGGTCATATTTCTGGGGCTCTGGTGAGGCAGGATGCTCCCACACATTGGCGGGACCCCTCTGACAAGGTGTCTGTTACCAGCAGCAGCTTTCTGGCTACTTTACCCTTCACTGGGGCTTTGCTCACCCCTGGGTGGGACAAACATGTTTGGCAGTCCTGCTTTTCTGCCTGTGTTTCCCCACGTTCAGCTGCAAGCTCAGTTACCACAGGCCTCAGCTCGGCCTCTGCTTTCCCAGTGAGGGCAGGCCGTGAGCTTGCGCACTTGGTCACAGCACCAGGTTTCGGGGATTTTACACCTGAGCCAGTGTGACTCACCTCCCTGGTGTGTGTGCCCCCTTGTCAGATGCAGGTGCCTGGCTACAGACAGAAAGGTGTCTTGAGATCAGTCACCTTTCCTTGGTGTTGCAGGTGATGGGAGAAAACCCTTCTTCTCCCTGCTAACCAAGATATTTGCATTTTTAATGACACCTCCACTCCCAGCCTTGTGGCTTGTTTGGCTCAAATCCTTAGCTGGTATAGAAAAGGCACTGAATTCTGTCTTAAAATGATACATGCAGTGTTGTTGTAGCCATGTCGGTGCCAGGATACTACAGCCAAGGTGTGTGAGGTAATATCTTTTATTGGACCAACGTGATACAGAGAGCTCTTCTTCAAGTCTGGGAAAGGTACTCAGTGGGTGGGTGTGTCTACACTGCCCACATTACAGCGCGGCCACGGCAGAGCTGTGACGTGGGCAGTGTAGTCACACTTTATCGCTGGGGGAGAGCTCTCCCGGCAATTAAAAAATAACCACTCCAAATGAGGGGTGGTCGCTTTATCCGGGGATAATGCGCTGTCTATACTGGCGCTTTTCAGCGCTAAAACTTTTGTCGCTCAGGGGTGTTTTTTCACACCCCAGAATGACTAAAGTTTTAGTGCTGAAAGTGGCAGGGTAAGCACAGCCTGTCACAGCTGAAGACAAGTTTGAACAGACTCCACCATAAGTAGTTAGTAGGGACAGCTCAGTGGTTTGAGCATTGGCCTGCTAAACCCAGAATTGTGAGTTCAATCCTTGAGGGGGCCATTTAGGAGTCTGGGGCAAAAATCTGTCTGGGGATTGGTCCTGCTTTGAGCAGGGGGTTGGACTAGATGACCTCCTGAGGTCCCTGCCAACCCTGACATTCTATATTGTAAGGGACAATTTAAGGTGAAGTGGCCCATTAATGCCACTGTAGTCATAGGACAAAAAGAGGGGTTAGTGGTTACAGACTGTTGTAAAATAATAATATTGTAACCTACTAACCCCAGTGGGAGGTGAACTCATGCAGATGTGCCTGTGAACTCTGGGTCTTCACTGAGCAAGGACAACTGTTGGTGGGGTGGGGTGGGGTGGAGGGAGAAGGGAGGGGCACTTTAAAGGAACTTTTGGTTGTTGGACTTAAGAACCTAAGGCAAAAGACTGCCCAACATATTCTGGGGTGGGTCTTTTGCTCATGGTTTTAAGCTTATGAATCCTGCTTGTGGCATTTGCCTGGGTTACTTTCCTGCTTTTTATTAAAAGTTTCTTTTCTACGCTCAGGCTCTGTGCTTGTGAGAGGGGAAGTATTGCCTCTTAGGGCATGGCTACACTTGCAGATGTAGAGCGCTTTGAGTTAAACCCGCCTTTGGAGAGGGCAGGAGGGAAAGCGCTGCAGTCTGTCCACACTGACAGCTTCAAGTGCACTGGCGTGGCCACATTTGCAGCACTTT